GCAAGCCCCAGCCTCTAGCATCGCATCTTGCTGCCCCAAGCCTCAGGCCCCGCCCTCTCCAGCGCGGCGGAGGGCGCCCTCTGGAAGCCCAAAGGGGCAGAGAAAAGAGGGGTGGGGACTACGGCGTCTGCAGCGGTCCAAATCCGGTCGTCCTCCCGCGCCGCGGAACCACGACGCTGCGAAGGACGATGAGCTCTGACAGGATGGAGATTAAAAAGAAACTGTGTCAAATCTGGACACACAGCAAGTAGCATCCTATGCCTCCCACGAGGCATCATTTCCAAGCAAAAATATTCAATGAGTGAATCTGACAAAGACAGTGTTTTTAAAAAGAACAAAAGAGCTGGGGCACATCCGTTAGCCCGCTTTCTGGAGGAGGAAGCAGAGAATTAAGGATTCAAGGCCAGCTTTGACTGTATTGTGAGTTGGAGGTCAGCTTGGACTACATGAGACCCTGTCTCAAAAAAACGGGAAAAAGAGAAAAAAGGAATACTTGTCTCAGTCGACGAAAGGGATATTTTTCCCATTTATAAAATGTAAAAAAAAAAAATGGTGAATAATTCGTAATCCAGGGACTGATTGTAAGGACTAATTTGTAATAATCCCATGAATTTTTTTTCTCGAGACAGGGTTTCTCTGTGTAACTTTGGAGGCTTTCCTGGAACTCGCTCTGTAGACCATGCTGGCTTCGAACTCGCTGAGATCTGCCTGCCTCTGCCTCCCAAGTGCTGGGACTAAAGGCGTGTGCCACTAAGTCCCAAGGACTAATTTGTAATAAAGCTCAAAAAAGTATACAAATGAAATGTCACTAAGAGTACAAAAGAGAGAGTGTGTGTGAAAGTCCGTCTCTGGCTGACACAGGCCTGCCAATTCAGCACTCAAGGACATAGGACAGCCTGGACTGCTCAATGAGAACCTGTCTCAAAATAAAAAGTGTGTTTGTTTTAATTTCGTGAATAGTCTGGCAAGATACTTAAACTATGCATAGTCCTAGGGAGAGTGTTGGGGGAGTTTCCCTCAATTATAGAACTCTCCAGAACCATTCACCAAAGCTCAAAGTGGTAACAAGCAAGCAAAAGCATATGCAAAAGCAGGAACAGGCCATTAGACAGTAAGATGGATAAGTTCTGACTGTCGGGGCAATCTTTTGCTCTCACTGTTTTATGTAACTGTCTGTCGTCCTCTGATAAGCAGTCTTGAAATGTCTCCTTTCTCCTCTTTGTCTGCCAGCATTGCTTTCCAACCAGAGACTGCATATTCATTTTCTTTAGGTTTGTTCAAGGTCTTGTATTTGATCTCATGACTTTCTCTTAGGACATTTTTTTTCTTCTTAAAACTAGATTCACATTAAAGGCTGGAACCAGGGATTTTACAATACACTGGCAGACTGCTAAACAAGAAACAGGTATGATCCCTTCTCCCACTTCCCTTGCTCATGCCTAGCTTCCACAAGAGTGTGAAGAAAATACCAAGTAAAAGTACATAAACTTCTCCCACACCTAGAAAAAAAAAAAGCCTGCATATACCTCCAAATTCAAATTCAAAAATGTCCACACACACTTTTGCTTTTCTCCAGTTCTGGGAATCAAACCTAGGACCTTGAGAAGGTTAGGCAAGTACTGTGCAGGCAACTAAATCTCTAACCCACAATTTTTTAAAACTCTTAAATAGCCCAAACTGATGTAAAAAATTGAAACCCTCCTAACTCCACCTCCCAACGCTCAGATTACAGAGATGTGCCGTACCCAGCTGCCTTGTTTTAGAACAGTTCTGTTAGAAATTGCACAGACAGCATAGAGAGATCCCATACTTTTTCTTTCCCCCTTCTATTAATTACTTGCATTAACATTGTATATGTATTACAACTGGTCAGCCAATATTGATACATTGATACTGCTTAGTGTTACACAGTTTTGACAAATACATAATGCTGTGTATCCACTGATAAAATCATTTACAGAATAATATGGAAGCCTTTTATTCAACTCTTCTTCCTAACAGAAATGTTTGTTTGTTTGTTTGTTTGTTTATTTGTAGACCCTGTAGCCCCTGCTGACCTGAAACTTACAGAAATTCACCTGCTTTTGTCTCCCAAATACTGGGATTAAAGGTTTGCACTCCCATGCCCATCTCAGGTCTTATCTTTTTACTGTTTCTACAGTGTGCCTTTTCCAGGTTCAGGAGGTTGCCATTGCAGACTAACTTTGATCACTAAGTAACATGTATTCCAGATTCTCCCCATCTTCTCATATTTTGGTAGTTTTTATGGAGTTTTTTTGTTTGCTTGCTTGTTTTTGTTTTTTAATTTGAATTCGGTATGTTTTGGTTGGTTTTGGATTTGAGGGGTTTTTTTGTTTCTATTTTTCTGAGACAGGGTCTCACCACCTAAGTATTTCAGCCATTCTCAGATAGACTGAGTCCTAATGCAGAGGTATTCCACATGCCTGTTCCTTTGCTTACACCGTGCTCTTTTCCTTGAACAAGACCTGTTCACATGAATTTCAAAATCTACATTCAGATCAGGGGAGATAACTCAGTTGGAAAAGCACTGACCTTGCGAGTATGAGGGCCTAAATCCAATCCCCAGCACCCACATAAAAAGCCAGGCATGGTGGTGTAGTTTTGTAATTCCAGTGCTAGGGAGGCAGAAACAAAGAATCCCTGGAGCTCACTGGCCACAGCCAACCTGTTCTAGCTGGCAAACTCTGGGTCCTAAAGAGAGACCCTATCTCAACAAGCAAGGTGGATGGTTCCTGAGGAGTAACACCTGAGATTGATCTCTAGTCATTACTTGAACTTGTGCGTGAGCACATACACAACCATGTGCATGTATATGCACGAACACACACACACAAGCAAGGGTGGTGAGCATAGCTCACTGGTAGAGCATTTGATTAACATGCACAAGATCCTGGGTTCAATCCCCAGGAACACAGACTCATATGCAACACACACACACACACACACACACACACACACACACACACACACACACACACTAATGGGGGCAATAAAAACTTACAGTTATATAATAGCCAAAAGAACAACCTACATGTGTCAGCTTTCATTTCTGAGACAAAACTAAGATAAAATATCTGAGATAGTCAACTTAACGCAGAAGAGCAAAGATCACGTGACTTTACCACTTTGGGCCTGTGATGAGACTGAAGTCATAGTAGTGCACACACTCAGAGCAGAGGCAGTCAGATCTTTACAAATAGCCTAAATATGGATTTGATGGCCAGCTAGAGCTATACAATGAGAACCTGTCTCAAAAGAAAAAGAGGAGAAGGGCAGGTCCTATGGTGGTTTGAAAGAATGGCCCCCATATTGGAATACATGATCCCCAGTTGATAAAACTGAGGTTGGCTGGAAGTAGTGGTGCACACCTTTAATCCCAGCACTTGGGAGGCAGAGGCAGGCGGATCACTATGAGTTTGAGGCTAGCCTGGTCTACAGAGTGAGTTCCAGGACAGCCAAGGCTACACAAACAAAACAAAAAAGAATAGACATAGAATTCACACTCTGATTCATAGAAATTATTTCAAGATTCCCAGTGGATACACCCTTTACATGCAGTTTGTTTTTCCCATATGTGTGCACACAAATTTAATGTCTTTTCCAGCAGAACTAGGTTATTACGCTGCATCTTTTGTCATTGAAGTTGCCATGCAAAACTCACACAAATTTATTGTTCTATACAATTCAATGGCTAGAAGGATTGTTCTTACCATGTTTTAGTTACTGTTCTATTGCTGGGAAGAACCATGATTGAAGCACCTCTTACAAAAGAAAGAATTTGGGAGTTGTTTGCTTACAGTTTCAGTGGGTTAGTCCATGATCATCATGGCAGGAAGCAGACAGGCATGGTGTCAAAGGCCATGAGAAACACAGCCGGATAACAAATATCCAACAGGCCAACCTACCACAAGTGATAGGAAACTCCACACTGGCCGAAGATATCAGTTGTTCCTATTTATAATTTCTGTCATGAGTCACTTTATCTCTTCCCTAAGAACAGCTTTGGGTGATTCCCACTGCTTGTGTGTGTCTATCTTGAGTATGATTTCATTTGGCTGTATAATCTTGATATATAGAACATATACTAGGTGCTTTGTATTCTCAAATAGGCCCCAGAGAAAGGAATTCCTTCTCACTGGAGTGTCAGTGGTAAGAGCACCTCTCTACTTACCCTGAGACTGGAAGCAGCAGCCTCTGATCTCAAACTACATAGCCTTAGTTTTTCCCTTTGATATAACACTGGGAAGTCCCCTTTAATCAGTTAACATTTGGTGAAAATGTTAATGCAGATCAAATGCCACCAATTTTCCTTCCCCATCTTATTCAGGTTGCCATGGTTACCACAACACTGCTGCTGCTGCTGCTGCTGCTGCCCCCACCGCTGCATTCCCAACTGCAACAAAAGCAAAAGCCAGTGCATAAAAAGCACAGAGCTGCAGCCTTTCTCCTCTTACATTTATCAACTACAAACTTCTAGCTTAACTAACAACTGTAGTTTTACATACTAACACCACTTCTCCCATCTTAGAAATCATAGTCCCTTAACCCTCGACACCTCTTAAGTTTGCTCACGCATTTTACAAATAATGTCTCCTCTGAGACATGAAGCGTCCCACTTTTGTTAAGACCTTACCTGCCTTCCTGGCTCTGAGAGATGCATAAATGGTATCCTTGTTGTTGCCAGAGAATTGCCAATTGTGTCTGTATGAGTATATAAACTAAAACCCTTGTGGCTCAGGAACAACTTTAGAGAGAATTCTTATTTTTTGGATTTTTGAGACAGGGTTTCTCTGTGTAGCTTTGGAGCCTATCCTGGCACTCGCTCTGTAGACCAGGCTGGCCTTGACCTCACAGAGATCCGCCTGCCTCTGCCTCCCGAGGGGTGGGATTAAAGGCATGTGCCCCCAATGCCCGGCTTCCTTTTTTTTTTATTTGAATTAGAAACAAGATTGTTTTACATGTCAATCCCAGTTCCCACTCTCTCCCCTCCTCCCCTCCCACCACCAACCCCCAACTAGCACCCTACCTATCACATATCCTTTCTGCTCCCTAGGGAGGGTGAGGCCTTCCATAGGGGGTCATAAGAGTCTATCATATACTTTGGGATAGGGCCTAGGCCCACCCATGTGTCTTGGCTCAGACAGTATCCCTGTGTGGATTGGGCTCCCAAGGTCCACACCTATGCTAGGGATAAGTACTGAACTACTACAGGAGGTCCTGTAGATTTTCAAGGTTTCCTCACTGAAACCCATGTTCCTGGGGTCTGGATCAGTCCCATGCTGGTATCTCAGCTATCAATCTGGGGACCAAGAACTCCCCGATGTTCAGGTCAGCTGTTTCTCTGGGTTTCACCAGCTTGGTGGACCCCTTTGCCCATCACTCATTTTTTAGAGAGAACTTTTAAAGACAGCTTTTGAAGAGAACTTTTGGGGAGAAATCTTTTTTAAATTTTCTTATTTGATGTACATTGAATGTATATCTGTGTGAGTGTGCCAGAGCCCCTGGAACTTGAGCTACAGACAGTTGTGAGCTGCCATGTAGGTGTTGGGGATTGAACCTTGGAAGGAGAAATCTCAAAGAGAGCTTTTTCAGAGAGAACTTTTAGACAGAACCTCCAAAGAATAAAAAGACATTATGAAAATGACATGTGTATGAACTAATTCATTCACCCTCAGATATTTTTAGTCAGTCTTACCAGCTTGCTGTAAGCCTCTGGCCTGGACCCCGAGAGGACCCCAAGGCTGGAACTTGGAGATCCTAGTTAGCATGGCACTGGAGCAGTACCTGAGAGCTTTACATCCTGATCCGAAGGCAGCAGGCAGAGAAACACTGGGCCTGGCATAGGCTTTTGAAAGCTCCATGTTCAACCCCAGTGACAAACTTTCTCCAACTTCCTAATCACTAACTGGGGACCAAGCATTCAAACATATGAGCCTATGGGAGCCACTCTCAATCAAACCACGTCACAATAGATCTTAGCAAAGTCAGCAATTACTTTCTTTCCTAATTAACTATAACAAGTATTTTCTCTTTCCAGCCTGGGTCCCACTGCCACTTCATGCCCCAAGTGAACACACAAAGATATATAGTAATTATGAAACTATTAGCCGATGACTAAGGCTTATTATTGGCTAGCTCTGTCTTAATTCTTAACCCATTTCTATAATTCTAAGTATTTCCACGTGGTCTTGGCTTACTGGAGAATGTCCTGATCTGTTTCTCCTTTTGGCGGCTACATGGCAACTATGTTTACCTACCTTTCCCAGAATTATCCTCTTCTCTTAGTCCCACTTATCTTCATGCCTTATTGGCCAACAGTGTTTTATTCATCAACCAATAAGAGAAACATGTACAGACAGACTTCTCCCATCAGTTAACTGTATTCTACTTTTTCACTTAAAAGAAGCAACTTGTGACTGAACTTTGAAATGTGTAACCTGTTGGCATTACTGCTGGTGATGGTTAATCTTCTGATCAACATGACTGGATTTAGTGTCTCTATGGAAACACACCTCTAGGTGTGTTGGTGACACCATTTCTAGAAAGGGTTAACAGGGAAAGAAGACCCATCCTGAATGCGGGAGTCCCAGATTGAATAAAAAGTCAAGCTGAGCACTGAATTCATCTCTCTGCTCTCTGACTTCAGATAGAATATGATTGATGCCATGCCATTTCTTCTTTAAGGGTGGACTATACATCCTTAAACTATGAGCCAAATTAAATCTTCGCTCAATGTGGCTCAGAGAGTAAGAGCACTTGCTGCCAAGACTGATGACCCAAACTTAATCCCTGAGATACATGGTAGAAGGAGAAAATTGACTTTCTAAAATTCTCCTACATACACACACACACACACACACACACACACACACACTTGCACATGCACACACATACACAATAAAAATTTTTAATTGCTTCTGAGATATTTGAACACATCAACATGAAAAGTTACTAGAACACCTACACTTGAGCTTCAGAGTGGTTCTTCGTTTTTTTGTATATAAGTTATGAAATTTATTTGTATTTAAGCTTTCAATAGACAAACATAACATTTCACTTTCTAGAAAGTTATCTCGATAGAAATGGGAAATACAATTAATACAAGAATATAAATTTCAAGGTTCCTCCTGTGAAATGGATACGTTTCCTTAATGAAGGTTTATGTCAAATTTTCCTCCCAACTTCTACTATGACATTAATTCAAGCAGGTCTGAGTGAACTTTTTCCAGATATTACAGTGAAGATTCAGTTCTTACTCTTTGGGTCTTTCCAAGTAATAACACATAAGAAAAAAATGTTTTTTTAAAAAAGATCATTTCCCCAAAGGGGTTTTCTATAACACATCTAAGCTAGTTATTTCCTGGCAGGTAGGAACAGTTCATAGCAGCATACATATTTTAAAACCACATCGTGTTTTATAACCCCAGCAACAAACTATAAAGTTTTTCTATATTTAGACTAGAGACGTGGCACATAGTTAATTTGGCTGATGGCCTTGTATTCACTAATTTGATAAAAAATAGTTTGCTTTGAGCCAGGTGTTGGTGGCACACACCTTTAATCCCAGCACTTGGGAGGCAGAGGCAGGCAGATCTCTGAGTTCGAGACCAGCCTGGTCTACAGAGCGAGTGCCAGGATAGGCTCCAAAGCTACACAGAGAAACCCTGTCTCGAAAAAAACAATGGTTTGCTTCAAGCTTCTTGAGATGCTATGTGAGTGACATTCCAGGACAGTTTTCTTAACTGATGGTAGGAGATGTATTGGGCCTTCCTGGCAGCACATCTTGTCCAGAAAGATAATAGTGTGGGCTACTGGCTTCTCAAAGCTCTGCATTGAAAGGCAGGGTTTGTTTGTCTTTCTCCCTTCCTTTTTTTGGGGAGGGGAGTCATTTTGTTTTTGGAGCAGAGATTCCTGGTTCCTGTATTCCAAGCTGCCCTCAATTTTGTTCTGTAGACAAGGATGACCTTGAATTACTGATCCTCCTGCCAGCACCTCCTAAGTGGTGGGATTAGAGATCTGTCCACATGTCTAAGTTACAAGGCACTGGAGAACCAACCCTGGTTAGCATTCTACTAACAGAGCGATATCCCTAGCAAAAAAGACAGGGTTTTTAAATATGCAATCACACATTAGAACCAGTGTCATAAGGAAATCACACATGATAGGAAAATAGTGCTATGTTTAATTTAAGTTACCAACTAGAAGATTAAAGGAACCAGTAGGGCTAGGACCAAGTGCAGTGTACTCTTCCGAGCATGAAGGTGGTTTTGGTTGGCGGTGTTGCTACACTGCAGCTAATATCAGCCATTGATGCTTGTTCTTCTCCTTTCAAGAGTAAGAGTGAGAGAATGCAGCCTTGGGAGGGGGGGTAAAAGTCTGAAACACGATCCTAAAATAAAGAAGGCAGCCAAAGGTGAGTAGTTAAGATGGTTTTGCTAAATGAAGAGTCGAATGACTGGAAACCAAAGGGCATCATCAAGATGGTGAAAAGGCAGCATAAACAAGGAGAGAAAACACTGGTGATTCCTATATATGAGAAAGATGTACTCTGCAAAACATATAAAGAGTTCTTACAATTCAGCAACAGAAAGGAGCAATGGGCTAATGGGATGGTTTAGAGGGTCAAGGCACTTGCCAGCCTAAAGACCTAAGTTAGATTCCTGGAACCTGTGTAAAGGGGTAAAAGGAGAGAGCTGATTCCACAAAGTTATCCTCCAACTTACACACTCATGTTGTGGCACACATGAACACGCGCACGCGCGCGCACGCACACACACACACACACACACACACACACACACACCATCATCATCATGATTCATATACAAACACAACACTAATAATTTTTAAGTTAAAAATAGGAATGCCGTTCACTATTTATAATGCTTCCAGGTTGTGTTTTTCTAGTTATTTGTTTTTTTGTTTGGTTTGGTTTGGTTTCAAGACAACTTTGAAGCCTGTCCTGGAACTTGCTCTGTGTGTTTTTTTGGTACTAAAGGGCTGTGGGACCAGGCAGGACAGAAACTCCATCATCATACTCCTTATAGCTTATATTAATTATAAACTGTTTGGCCAATGGCTTAGACTTCTTATTGGCTAGCTCCCTCTTATTTATTAACCCATTTCTATTAAGTTATGTATTGCCACAAGGCTGTGGCTTACCTGTAATGCTCCAGCATGATACTCCTTTGGTGGCTACATGGCATCTCCCCTAGTGGTTCCTTCCCCTTCCCAGCATTCTCTTAGTCTGGTAGCCTGCCTGTACTACTGGCCAATCAGCATTTATTCATCAACCAATAAGAGAAACATATATTTACAACATACAGAAGGACATTCCCCACCTATCTGTTTCTTCATTTTTTTTTTAAATCTATGTATCTTTAATAGTTCTGTTAGCTCTTTCTACCCATCCTAAGCTTTGGGGCCTACAGACACAATATAATTTACAATGTATTCCTACAGTTTTAACCTCTTGCTGAGGCATTTTGGATGTGAAGTTTGGGCCATTGTTGGACTTAAAAGAGGAGAGAAGACCAAGTAGAGGATGATTTCCATCAGTAACTTTTTAGTAACCATATCAGTTGTTTCTGACCTAATGGGGATAACTCCTATCCGTCCTGGAAAAGTATCTATAAAAACTAGCAAATATCTGCAGACAAACCTTGTCAGAGTAACCTCAGTAACTTCCTAGTGTTCCCCAGGACTAAGTCCCCTTTCCAGAACACCCAGAAGTGCTAGTTCTCCCTCCTCTTGGGTCACCTGGGCACAGATGGAACAGCAGCAGGTAACTGCTTCAACAGTTTCACCTGGGTGGTGTAGAAAGGACCTGTCCCTAATGAACTCTTTCAATTTTGTTGGTCTCAAGTGTGTACTGTGATGAATTCTCAAGAGAAGGGATGACCCAAGGCTTCTGGAAAGACGGGGTATCCACCTGGGAGAACCCACAAGTCCTCAATCTTGGTGGACTCCTGCTGTCTGGCCCAACCCTTTTCCTCACTGGTATATGTAGGTCACTCACTGTAGTTCTCAAATTTCCCAACACAGCAACTCTTTAATATAGTTCCCCATGTTGTGGTGATCCCCAACCATAAAACGATTTCATTGCTACTTCATAACTGTAGTTTTGCTAAGGTTATGAATTGTAATATAGATATCTGATACACGAACCAAAGTGGTTCCCACAAGTTGAGAACCACTGTAGGCTGGACTCAGGCAGGAGTGTGAGAATCCAAGGAGGAGTTAATGTTTTCATTGGCCCCACTGGTGCTATAACTGTTCTTTTCACTATGACATCAGCAAATCTGTTGTCCAATGATGGGGAATGTATTTATGTGTATGTTCATCTTATTGATTGTTGAATAAAGTACTATTTGGCCAATGAGGCAGCAAGTTAGGCGGGACTAGGAGTCAAAGATGATTCTGGGAAATGTAGTAAAGAAGTGATGATCCAGGCAGGAAATGACATAGCAGGGAGACTCATATTTAAGCAAGGACAAGCAACAAGTGGTCCCTTTTCCCCTCCGCTCTTCCTCCAGTGGCGCCATGTGATCCACCGGCAAGGGAGGATGCCAATGGAAGGTGTCCGATAAGATAAGTCTTATAAAATACATAGATTTATGATAATTAAGACTGAGCTAGCAGATGAGAAATCCTAGTCATTGGCCAAACAGCATTTGCACCTAATATAAGTCTCTGTATTATTTTGCCCATCCACATGATGGGCAGAACTCAGGAGGCTGGCAGAGACCGCCCACTTGGCTGTAGGACTCGGGCACCTTTTGGCAGAAAGATTTATCTTACAGTCCTAGGCCTCACCTAAGTCCCCTTTTAAGTGTCCTGTACAAAAGGTAATAGCCAGTTTCTCCAGCAGCCAAATAGCTTCTAGGAGAGCAGAGATCGCTTTAAGTCTGGTTTCCTTTCCTGAGAACCTCAACAGGCCTTGCTCCTGCTACAAAGCACCATGGATGTGTGCAGTGAGAAAGGCATATCAGCTATCAGTATAGATGTTGACTGTGCAGCTGTTTCCTCACCTTAATGCCTGGGTCAAGGCTATAAGCTCTGCCTTTTGGGCTGATATCCCTGTAGACAGAGATTGGGTCCAGATTACCTCAGTGAGTGTCACCACAGCTTCTCCTGAATACCTGACCCCATCCTGTACGTAGCCATTTTCATCAGTCAATGGGGCCATATCTGCCTTTTCTGAGAGGCTGTTCTCAGAGGTTTGGTTGTCCATACTACAGGTGATAGGGGAAGTACTTCTGTATATATGTTTCTCTTATTGGTTGATTAATAAAACACTGATTGGCCAATAGAGGCAAGAAGATAGGCAGGGCTAGGAGACCAGGAAAATTCTGGGGAGAGAAGGCAGAGGGAGGCAACGAAAAGAGATGCCATGTGGAGACACCATGTGGAGACACCATGTGGAGACTGTGAAGATAGGATGTGCCAGGCATTCTCTCTGGTAAGATAAGGCCATGTAGAAATACATAGATTAGTAATTATGGGTTAATAATTATGAGAGAGCTAGCCAGTAAGAAGCCCTAGTCATCAGCCTGTAACAATTTTATACTTAATATAGCATCTGTGTGTTTATTTGGGGCAAAGCATCTGTGGGACCAAGCTGGAAAATAGCTCCAGCAACAGCAGGTGATAAATAGCCTGGATACAGATAGAATCATTTTGCTATTTCTACTGAAAGACCCCTGTCCCTTAGCCCTTTCTTTCTCAAGTTTGTCTCCTCTTCCTCCTGTCGGCGGCTTCCCCGATCCCCACCCCCGGCGGCCTTCCCCCG